GATGGAAATGAGAATAATGCTTCCCCCCAGGATCTGGGAGCTACTGAATGGGGACGGGAAGGAGAGTATCTCTGAGTGCTGGGAATGTGCCCACTTCCGTCTGGGTGGTAGTTACACGCATTGCACTGTGCACCGGGACTCAGGCATTGCATGTTACACCCCCGTGAGCTTCATTAAATGGAACACTCCTTGAAGGGGCACCCTACCAGCAGGCACCATACATTCACTGTCTTATAAGCAAGATTTCTTAGTGGATGTTCTGGTATACTTTGAGCAGAAGTATAAGCACATGTGTTTCTGGAAGGCTATTTCACAACAGATATCAAGACTATATAATGTACAAAATCCTTAATTCTGCTTTGATCATCTTATACAAAGGAATATATTAAGGATGTCCACACACACTTAAGCTTCAAGAATACTTGTCATACCATAATAAATACAAATAAATAAATATATGTAAATACAAGGGGAAGGGGGCAATGAACTCAATGCCCACCCACAGGGAACCATATAATATTATGGGTTCATTAAAATGACATTTTAAAATTTAAATGGAAAATGTTGACAATATATTTATAAAAATTAAAAAGCAGATCATCCAACGATACATAATCTGAGACACATGAAGGACACACTCAATATGTTACCAGTGACAACCTCTGGGCAATGGAAGACTATGGGATTCTTAGAATTTTACCCTTTTTCTTTTGTTTTTTTCCTAAAGTGAATATATATTACTTAATTAGAAAAAATACATAATCACACTTCCCAAAAATAAATGTGAGCTTTAGACTTTAAAACGGAGTGCCAGACCTCACACAAACTCCCAGGTTGCCAGTGTCCTTGAAGCCCTGCTTCCTGCAGAGCTCTAAGCTCCCATTACAATGGCTCAGGGGGAGCAGGGGTAAGTAAGGAGCTGGATAAAATTCTAGGTCTTCTGTTCCATGTGCTGATGGTGGCACTGGTTACACAAATCCAGACGTGCACTGTATCTCCCAGAATTACATATCCCTTGAAAAAAGTTAAAAGCAACTCCATGTCTAAATATGAAAATAAATATTTTTGACTGACAAAGTTCTAGGTGCTATAAAAAGAAAAAGGCACCACTTTTCCTGAATTACCAAGCCTGACTAGTTACAAGTTAGATGGAGATCACTTAACCAGGTCATCTCACCACCTGTAACGTGAAAAAAACTCATGCCTTTATCTGTAAAGTGGAGGTAACTTCTCCACCACAGAGGCCTTGTGAAAATTCAGCAAGATGACACATGAAAAAACAGGTTTTGTAACAAACGCTGCTACAAAGCTACTGCTGGTTATTATCGTCATCCCCATGAGCTCAAGTTTCCCCTACCACACGACGGACTCCTGGGAAAAGGGCAAAATCTCTCTTGCAGGGGGCTCCCCTTCTCTGAGTTTTGTGTGGCTGGGGCACACACTTGATCATCACGCAGCACTGCATGAGCTTTATCTTGTAGCTCACCAAGATTCAGAAGCCCTCCCAGAGCCACAGCACGTGAGCAGCCCCAGAGGCGGGAGTGGCTGCTTATACCCGACACCCGACAGAGGGGGTCCAGCACCTTAGCTCACAAATCCCAGGAGAGCACAAGGTCTACGTTTAATCCTGATTTTAAGAGAGTTTTCTCTTCTTACGTGTTAGTCAAAAAAACGAAACAGACCAACAACTATAAAGATAAAACACTTCACAGTATCAATTTTCAATGCCTTATCTTCCTCTCCAGCTTTTCAAGGTCATACATCCCTAATGAATGATTACAGAGGACTGCTGATACGGAATGTGAAAAAGACACTCCTTTGAAGTCCATCCTCTAATAGAGCACCCAGCTCAGATCCCAGGCACCCAGGACTTAGGGCCAACAAGGACCTACACGCCAAACAGACAGCAGTCCCTGAGCACCTGTCAATCTGCCTGTTCCTCCGCCTCCTCAGAGAGAACGAATCACAAGACTGCTCAGAATAAGAAACCAAAAGGGCAGAAGCGCAAAAAGCAGCCAGGCCTGAATTTCATGCTGTTTCCAAAGTGTGGGCTGGCATGCTGTGATGGTTATTTGCACAGTGGGCAGACGAGGCTGACAGCTTGAGGGGGCTATTTTAGGGAGATATACTGCAAGTCTGCTCAGGAGAGGGTTTGGGGCCCGGTGCTCCCTCTAAGGCTTTTCAGCCCCCAAGCTGACCCTCCATCCACGCGGGCGTTAAGAGGCAGTCAGCCAGCCCAGAAACACAGTCTTTGTATCATATCATCCCAAGGGTACCCACAGCTCAAGGCACACCAAGGGCGGTGAGAGAGGAGAGGGAGTGGTGAGCGTAAGGACCCTCTGCACTTGTGGAGATGCTGTCCCCAAGAAGCTGAGTGCCAGGATAAAAACTGAAGGAAGAGGTAGGGAAGACCGTAACACCTGAGGAGCCATGGGGAGTTGCACCTTAACTACAGAAATGCTTCCTCTGCCCTGCCCCTTCTCCTCACAGCTGAGCACACGTGTCTCAGAGGGCTGCCCCCACGGGGGCAAAGGCAGCTCTGAATGCAGATCAGAAGCACAATGGCGCCCAGGGTCCACAGCTTCCTAAAAGCACAGGGACTCTTGGAAAAGGTTCTAGGTCATCAGAGGGCTCTGGGACAGCAGTTAGAATCTCTTTCTGATAAAAGAATCCCTCCTCAGCCCAAACCAGCACAGGCAGGACACATTTACATACAAGACACAGTCACACACATACACACTTAACATACATGCCTATTTACATGCATTCATGTAGATTTTTACAGAAGGCAGGAAGTCTGTTCCATAAGTCTAAAATCCTTTGCTTTCCTTATTCCATTCTAGCAGCAACAGTGATTTCTGTTACAAATTTTCTCCTATGAGGGCTGATTAGAGATGAAAATGCCACCCTCTGGCTTACATTCCCATCTCACCCTACCAGCCCAGTGAGATTCGTTAATAAATGGAGGCACAAAGATGGAAGGGAGATCCGAACTGCACTCCTCGGAAGTGGGAAGCACGCTCTGGTTGGAGGGTCTTAGGTACCTTACTTTGGTGAACCTAGCAGGCTGCACCTCTGCTCTCAGGGTGGCCAGGGAGCAGCTCTCTCAGCCTCTTTATCCATCTGTCTCCACACCACCAGGCACAAGGATCATCTCTCACCAGCAGTGCACTTCTGCGTCTATTCTCAGCCCCCATAAATCATATTCCATTGTTTCAGGGAATCTGCATTCATGCCTGACAAGCCATCAACCTCATCCCTCCACCTCCACCCAAATTTCCCTCAGGGAGAGAGTGTTGCGAGGAGAGGAAAACTCTTAATTAAGGCTGGATTTTAGAAACAAGCTCCCACACAAAACAGGAAAAATAAATTGGGTATAAACACTGTCAGATAACCACGAATATCTTCGGATAAAGTGTTTGTGATTTTCAGGTCTAGGCGTGAACTCAGTGGACATCGGAAGGAAGAATTTGCACCTAATACCAAATGACACATGATATTTGCTCTTCAAAACCATTTAAAGTGCTGCAGAGGCTAGATTAAATTGTTCTGCTGCAGAATTTCTCCCACTTACAGATTACTAAGAAATATAATATTGCTTTACAATTTATTTCAACATGTTCATCCTTGTCACGCTAGCGCACTCATGAACCTTATCCACCACCAGGCTTAACCTAACTGAACTCCCATTTTCCACTGAGATCTAGGAAAGCTTGCTGCATTCTCCCAAGCAGACCTGTACCTCCGGTGTTCCAAGACCACCGACACTCCTAGCATAAAGTCTGCCAAACGAGGGCTCCGGGTAGGTATAATTCTTAAAGGGCTAACATAAGAAACAGCTTTCTGAGGCTGGAAGACCCTATGACATTCTGGTAAATGTACATGGTGTTAAAAGGGCTATACAGAGTGATGTGACTTTGAAAATCCCCAAACTGTTAACCAAAGCCCAAATGAGAACATGTTTTTAAATGCACCCCTCCCGAACCACTGCCCAGCTAACTTGGCCGTGTAAGCCCCGCTGTGGCTCAGCGCCTCCACAGTGCAGCCTGCCCAGGGGAGGTCTGCAGGCCACTCCCTGCTGAGAGAGGGCAGCCTACCAGCGGCTGCAGCAACGATACCCAGGTCCAAGCCCAAACGCCGGCTGGGGTCCCTGGGCCTGTCCTCCCTTGGGCTGTGTTCCTGACTGGCTGAACAATAAACAGGGAGTGAGTACGACAGGAAAAGCCGCATCATGCCCTGCCCAGTGCCCGGTGCAGCCACTCCCTAGTCCTCAACAGCACTGGTTGCACATCGTCCCCCCATGAAAATGGTGTGCAGGAACAAGGGCCTGCCGGAGATGGGCGTGCACAGGGAACAAAAGCAACAGAAGACAGGTGGGAAGGGCTCATCACCTCAGACGGGGCAGAGGAGGCTGAGCTTCTGCAGGGGAAGTAGAGACATTTTAAAACCACCTCCCAAAAAAGGAGGCGGTAAAGCCGACGTCAAGCAGTCACAGCTGCCAGCACCCCTGCGACCTTCTCCAGGCATCAGAGGCTTGTCTACCACCATAGCAATAAGCAGAACACACGCAGCAGTGCCTTCTGGGGCACTAGCACACTGCTTAGGGCTGCTAAACTGGTCCTCTCACTTTTCCCGGCTCTTAACAAGAGATTCCGAATGGCACGGCCAGGGAAAGTTTCTCAGATTAACTGCAGAGAACTGCAGCCCAGTGAAGACGCCGTGGGCGGCCCGCCCCTCGCTCGCTCCCTGCCGCACCCCCGTGGCACCTGGGTGAGGCCTGCTCCGGGGGCCATCCCTGCCCCCAAGACGTGGCGGGCTTTCCGAATTCCCTCCATGAGAGAAGCCTGCCTAACCCGCCCCCAAGGCACGACCCCACAGGTGGGCCTGGCCTCTGATGCAGGAACGAGGGTCCCTCCGCGGCCTCTGCCTCCGCTTCCGCCCCCGGGGGCAGGTCGGGGCGGGCCCCCGCACCGCACACCCCGCGCCCGCCGCCGCCTTACCGCCGGTGCCCTCGAAGCGCGGGGGCCGCCGGTCGCGCAGCGCGGCGCTCCAGCCCGCGCCGGCCTCGCCCTCCTCCGGCTCCGGCGCGTCGGCGACCCGCGCGGGCCCGGGCCGCTCCTGCTCGTCGTCCGAGGAGGCCGCCGACGAGGAGTGCGAGGCAGCCGACGTGCTGTAGAAGGGGTTCCCGCCGCTGTCCGGGCCCGACTCGCCGAACACGTCGTCCGAGATGTGCAGGCTCTCGTAGCGCGCGCGGGCCGCCTCCAGCAGCGCCGGCGCCCGCCCGCGCGCGCCCCCGCCGCCCTCGGCCATGGCCCCGGCCGCCGCCCGCGCGCCCGCCGCCCACAGCACCTCCCAGCCGCACGCGCCGGGGCCCGGGCCCGCGCCGCGGCCCGCCGCCCCCAACCAGCGCAGCCCGCAGCACAGCGCCCGCCGCCCCGCGCCCGGCCGGCCCGCCGTCTTGGCCGCTGCGGGCCCCGCGCCCGGGGACGCGCCCTCGGAGCTCGGGAGGCAGGGCGGGCGGGCGGGACGCCGGGCTGCGAACCGGACCGGGCTCCGCGGCGCTGCGCCTCCTCAGTGTCTCGGCGCCACCAGCCCGCACCGCCCGGCCGACCTTCCCCAGCGCCAGCGGCCGGGGGCGGGCCCCGCCTACTCGCGCCCTGCCCGCGAGCCAGTGGAGAGGCCGGCCCGGGGCCTGCGGGCCAATGAGGAAGCCATTCCGGGCTTTGTGGGCGGGGATTTTCCGGCGGACCAATGAGGAGGCCTGCCCGGGCTGGCAGGCCAATGGGGAGGCCGGTCCAGGCGGGGCGGGCGGCTCGAGCGCTCCGGCCGACGCGGAGGAGGAGGTTGGCCGCGGCTCCCGCCAGCCCCCGCCCGCGGGAACTCGCAGCCTGGGGCCGCCCCCCACAGGCCG